GCAAATCAAGATTTTGATCGAGTGTTTAAAACTGGGGGGTGGGATTTGAACATGTCGAAAGTACCACAATGCTAGCAAGATCTCAAAGTGTGTCTTAGTCAAAACCTTCTAGAGGCGGTGCAGAAGACGAGTTTGAAAACAAAATGCATTAATCATAGAAACAACATTCTTAGGGAGAAAAAATGGGATAAGTCACCCTTAGAATCATCTAAGAATTTAGTCAAACACCTGACTACTTTGGTGTTGAACTTGGCTTCAATACTTTCCTGTTATGAAATCGGAACCTAAAAGCAATTGTTTAATAAGTGAACCTTTGAAAAACTACAAATTTTAGGTTGATTCTTTTGAATTGGTCATTTGCCATGGTTAAAGTGCATGGCGCTTTCCTTCTTTACCATGACCTTACCAAGACAATGAAAATGTAATCAAATCAGGCTACACGAGCTGCACTGCTAGCGAAAAAAATTGTAAGTAAAACTGAGCTTAGTGCGAGGCTTGCTATATTCTAAAAATATGAATAAAATAGGTAGCCTACTATATGTTTAAGCCTTTTAAAGAGTAAGGCAGATTTTTAAAAATCTTGTTTTACCAATGAATTTCAGACTACTAATATACAATTTTAAAACTAGTGTACCCCTGAAGGCCTCTTCAGTGTGCTTTGGTTGCCAATGTAGCTCGCGGAGATTATTTCTTTGTTTAATGTAAACTACGATGGTATGGCAGAAGTGGATAAAACCTGTTTTTATTGCACTTTATACCATTGCCTTATGTATCGGTCTTCCATTCTGTATTGTCGCCCTGAAAAATGAATCCGCCAGTTCTATGACATTTGCCCGGTTCATTGGCGGTGTGTTTGTCCTCGGAGCTATTCCGATTTCGATTTGGACTATCTTGGAGCACCTGATTAGCTATACAAAGCCATATTTGCAAATACACATTATCCGGTAATCAAACCTTTATCATATTTACCCAACCTAGAATCTTGTGGATGGTCCCCATATATGCAGTTAACGCAGTATGTTTTGTCTGTTAGTTTCGCATTGGTGATTTTAGTGGTTCGCTCTCCGATTTCCCCAATACGCAATTTACTTTGACACACTTCGCGAATGCTACGAAGCTTACGCCATTTACAACTTTCTGGCGTTTCTGTTGAACTACCTTCGGAAAAAGGACGCCAATTTGAATAACCACCTGGCTTCCGTCCCCCAGGTGAAGCATATTGTCCCATTTTGTTGCCTGAAACCCTGGCAGATGGGAAGGTGTGCATAATTATTACTGGCTTCGAAATTCAACTTAGTTTATATTGATGTGCTGTTTCATTACAATCCATCAGTTACTATTTATAGACCTTTTATCGAACACTGTCGTCATGGCGTTTTACAGTATACTGTCATCCGCCCCATTACCACAATTATAGCTCTGTGAGTTCTAAATAATATCTTTTTCTTTGTTGAGACGAAAAAATCCGCAATTACCTTTGTTTTATCTTAACAGGATATGTGAAGTCTGCAAGGTATATGAAGAGACGAATTTCAGTCCAAGATACGCCTATGTGTACCTCACTGTAATCAACAACATTTCGCAAATTGTGCGTTTTTTAGTTAAAAATTAAGCCCATTCCTTCATTATCTCCCTCCCTTTTGCTGTTTTAGTGGGCACTCTACTGCCTGGTACTCTTCTATCAATGTACTCGGGCCGAGTTGAAGGAGATGAAGCCGATTTCAAAGTTCATTTGCGTCAAGTTTGTCGTTTTCATGTCATTTTGGTAAGCTCTTTGCACTACCACCTATTATCCATCGTAATGAATTTGTGTTGGTGACGACGATGTTTGCCTTTCATCTTCTCTCACCCTAGGCAATCTGTCCTGATTTCCATTCTCGCTGCTTCTGGAGTGATACGTCGTGTGGAGGCATGGAAACTGGAAGATGAACGATCCATTGGTATTGCATTTCAGGTAGGCTTTCTCCCCTTATTGGGTGCCTTTGGTCACCTATCTCCGTGGCCACTTTTGCAGTTTTATTTCCTCAAGCACACATAAAGAGCCTCGTTGAATCGCATTCTTTTAAAATGCATTGTGTGGACTGACACTACTATTAATCATAGGGTAAAACGTTCTTTGTGTGTGTGTCATTCAAAAGTTGTCGCACCTGCCTTATATCAATAGCAGACTTTGAAGCTAAAATTGATCCGGTTTGAACCTCCCTCATTTGGCTGGATAGCTAGCTACTCTTCGTTTGGTGTAAGAGTTTTCGACTGAATTGTCTCCACGCACTCCTTTGACCGATGCAGAACTTCATGTTCTTAGTCGTAACTCACTTTGGGTGAATTGAGTATTTCGTTGTGATGTGCGCGAATTGGTTAGGACGTTCATTTGATAACCACAATAATGAAAGAAAAAAAACTAAAGTTTAGTACCACTGCTCTTGTCCTAGGTATATTTAGGTGTCGATCATAATTTACATGGGTAGGGGAGCATTTTTCCTATTTCTAATATTATAGTGGACAATATTTAAGACGACTTCGCGGTATGCTATTCATTTGTGGTAATACGTTCATGAAACCAGTTTGTTCATTCTGTCTGCTCTTATTAAAATCGTTTAATCGTAATATTTATCTAAAATTATGAATAGAAAAATATTTATCTCGATAACACTATGAATCAATTACTTGCGCAACTGAAAAGTCAAAAGTTAACCTCAATAGCCATTGAAGACCCTTTTTGGCCCGTACCTTTTACTGTGCTGCCATTTATTCAATATCTTGTAATTTAGCTTTACCATCGTATCCAGAAATTCCAACACTTAGTGGCAAAATATATACTCTAGAAGTGAAATGTTAAGCTTGAACATCTCCAGGATCGTCTTTGGGCAGAAGCGACCCCGAAACTACTTTCTAATTCACCATTGGATGTAATTGGGGCGCTAATATGAGGACATTAATCAAAGAGCCCTTAAAAATTTTAGTCTATCATGATTGGTGTACACTGGTTATAAAAGTCGGGGCTTAAGTGGTGGTGCTTGCCACTCTTCAGTGGCGTACTGATTCGGCCAGTATATTGTTATGGCATCGCCCGCCAAGTTGACTTCGTCCTCTTCACCTCGTCATCTGGTAAAGTGAAAACAGCAAAGCTTGCTCACACGCGCCGCATATTGGATCTGTTACGCAGTGTCATCTTCGAGAAAACCTTGGCAGAAGAAAAGGAGGCTGTAGTTTAGTTGACGAAAACGGGGACATAGTGGAAGAGATTAATTCGAGCCTCGCTCTGAGCAGGCGATGGTTGGAGTGGCGGCAAGGCCTTTGAGTTCAGTCTTGGCACCAACTATGGCGGCGGTGATGAAGGTGGAGTTGCCGAAGATGCAGGGTGGAGGCTCCGCTTTCATGTGGAAGTACATAGACAGTGAATGGAAGTGTGAATTGTGGAATAGGCGAATGTTGAATGTCAATCAAGGTAGACTAGAGGTACATTACTGGACTTCAGACTGAAATTGAAAATTATCTGCTCTTTTTTCACATTGTATAATCTAACCATGTGCAGTGCGCTCACCAACAGGATGGTTGTATCAAATTTGCAAAGAAGAGTAAGGTGCTAACAAATAAACTTCATTGTTGCTGTTTCAACTTCTTTGGTGTGATTTCTATCTGACAGGAAAAGATTCTATGTGAAAATAAAGTTTTGTCATCCTTTTACTTATCATCCTCAAAGGATGTTTGGATCCATAACAACTGGTCACAAATTGTAGGTAACTGAGGAGAAGAATCGTAGCGGGTTTATTGGAAATGATGTAGAAGGATTTAGCGAAGCTGAACATTTCATTTTCACTTCCTCAACATTATTTGGATTTTGAAGAAATCTAGTGTAGATGTAATCCCTGTTCTTTGCTATATTTTTAGAATTTCGCAGTGTGTATTGAGATGTTCATTGCAGCGGTGGGACATCACTTCGCCTTCACCGCGGCACCCTATCACGACGCTAGTGTGCCTCGCACGCCTTGTTGCTACTCATGGTGGTCGATGCTCGACATCTCCGATGTCAAACGCGACGTCGTCCAGCACGTTCGACATGTCGGTGAGTCGCCAACTTCCTCCAAATTGTTGACATTTCGTACCCAACCTTGCATTAATTTTCCCTTCGAAGAGGGTGGGGGACACTTTTAGCTTCAAATATAATCATGAAGCATCTCTAGCAGGTTGTTTTGCACCTGGACAATGTTCTACGGCGGAAACGTGCTTTAGGCAAATTGTCACCTACCGAAAAGCAAAATCTGTTTATTTTAAAGTAGTATAATAGGGCTTTGTTCTGTATTTGCTTCTTTTTACTCACTGTTTACCGTTTTGATGGTTATGAGTAGCGCGCCTGGGTTTTCCCTCATTCTTTTATCTGTGTGACCAGTTATCAAATCCTCATGCAAATTTATAAGTGATTATTCCACATCCAGCCATTACAGAAAACTTGAGGCTGGTGTGTTTGCCAACATTCGCCGCAGTTTTATAGCTCCTCTGTCGTGATTTTTTGAAGATCCAGGCATCGAAGCTGGTACTGTTTTTCTATGATATTTAGGTGCGTTATCTAACCAGGGAAGCCTGGCTTACCATCTTCAGCAGCGTCCGACAAGCCCGTTGTTAACATGCACAAGGGAGGGGACATTAGTAGTCTGGGTTACGTGAACATACCCTTGTTTTGCATTACAGTGCACTGAAAAGTTTTGCATTGTCAAATATGCAAATGAAGGCAAACCTTTTTCCTTCGAGTAACGTCAGGTTTAGGTATCTTTGCAATTTGACTAGGGAATTGTTGAAATTCCAACAAAAGTGCATTACGTAGAGGGCTTCGTGCATTTTACCCGTCTTTCTGAATAAAATCTCTACGATTTTTTGTGCTAAAATATCCTCTTATACCACGGCTTATTTCACTATTGCTGAAAATAACTACACTTCAGCTTACAGCTCTAGAAATGAGGTTCACTGTCTATCCCGTCTTTTTACAAGAAAATATCTGACAATAAAAAGGAATAGGGGATGAAAAAGAGTGCTCAATTCCTTAGAATAGGTTTTAATTCTGATGACTACACGTCCGGAAATCCAAGAAGCGAAATATTCATGAAAATTTCCAGCTATCCACTTCCGCTTCACCCAGGATGTATGGGAAGATTCAGTCCTTCTGAATCGCTGGACCCACTTCAGAATGTTAGGCTATTCTCTTGCAACAAAGGATTCGTATTTGAGTTAGAGGTCCGAACCGATGTGAATTGACATAAACGCCACACAAAAACTTGATTTAAAGATGGAAGAGATGGCATCGTTTTAAATATATCTTGTCCTCAAAACTCCCTGTGCAGTTTCAAGTAGGAGTCAGGGGCCTATACATCGCATTTTCTTGATTGATACACATAATGCCAAGTTGCTTTTCTGACAGTAGATTATGTGCTAGATTTTAAAGACTTCTCTTTGCTACGTGTAGGCACCACAGTCGGTTTCATTGGGTCTGCCAGTCGTCTCTTCCAGCCATTGCCTCGCACATCCGTGGTGCCCGGATTGGCACGATCTCGCGCCTTCGCTGCCGCGTCTTTGGAGAGAGATAGCAGCAGCCGAATTAATGCCGGGGTAGACATCGAGTCCCAACCTCTCATACCTGCAGAAGATGACGAGAATGCGAGCAAAAGTAGTAGAAGGAAAGGGACTCTCTCACATCACCACTGGCCTCCCGATCGCCTGGCGCCTGATACGCCCTGGGGCGATGATGATGGTGACGATAGCCGTGATGAGAAACATGCGTTGAGGGAGGAAGAAGAGGCGGATAATGAGGAAGATGAAGGTGGCTTCGTTTTTGTCCGTCCGGAGTTCATCAGCGTGCCCCAGGAGTTGCCAAAGCTCTAGCATTTTGTCTTTCATTGTTAATCCATTGGTCAGACATCCAGCTTTGTGCATGTTTCAAAGCGCACCTCTCCAGCCAGTCAATAGACAAATAAATGCCTTTGCTCTTCCAATCTCTTTGATTACAAACCTATTGTTTTTTAAACCTCTGCCAATTCTGCTTGCTACCTCGTTGCGCTCGTTCTTGCCGTTCTTTTAAGCTGTTTTTCGTGGAGTCTAAAATAAAGCCAATGTCGTATTAGAGCTAGTAACCTTTTGAGATGACAAAAAAGCAATCAATCTAGACTGCTTTTAACTTATTGTCAGAGCCATCTTTTTTTCTGTATTCTTTTTACACGGTAGCTTGTGCCACTAGAAATCGTTGGTTTTTTGCTGTTTCTGGCCACATTTTGACCAATGCTTGAAAACTTCCGGATTTTCAAATACTTGTGATTGCAGTTTCGAATGAAGTACCACCATGTCAGTTTTTTTAAGCTTCCCCCTTCACAGGACAATGCTAGTTGGTGATTATGTAGCATCACGAGGAGCTCATGACGGCAAGTAATGCAAAAATGTGCATAAAATGTTTTTTTTTTCACTTCCCATTCTAGAATTTCCGTCTCCTCATCTACGTAGGTCATGCTTCACTAACTCTGAGTCCTCTCTTACCCATTAAAATAAGTTATTGAGTAATATCAAACTGACAAAGTTCTCTGTATTCGCTTACAGCCTTTGTCAAGACCTTTTCATCGTATTTCCACCGTCTCATTTCCATAATTTTAGTTACAGAAATACAAGTTGGTTGGTTTTGCTGACGATGTAATGATCTAAGCCTTGTGTTTTTGTTAAAATCAGTCGCCTATTATCATATACTGCTACATCTCCCAAAAGAAAGCAACATGGTAATTGCTGCAATAACCACGTGAAAGGTCGTAATTTTTGTAGCTTAGGGAAATTATAGAGTGGGTGGCTCTTCTTGCCCCAATTACTCGCTACACATGGAAAACTGCCATTAGTTTTAATTCTCTGTTAAGGGTAACGGAGGTTTTGCAGCTTTTTATTCTAAAGCCGCTGTAGTAGGTGGAGAATTTGCGCTGTGCCTATGTCTTTCGCCCTTCCTAGTTGTGTGGGATTAGTCGGAAGGGGTGACAGAGGTTGAACAAATGAGGCTACCACTCTTCACTTATTGTCGTTACGATAAGATGCTATGCCTTCTGTCCATACGCTTTTGGCATTCGTTCAACTTTTGTACGGTTAAGTAGATCTTGAACTGGCCATGTTTTGCAGGCGTTACGGCAACAACGCTAACTGACGCGGCTGAGATGTTTGCAACTGACGTAATCACTGTCGCCGCACACTTTGTTCTAGCTTGTCAACAGCTATGGAATGTTTGTGTTTAGGTTATAAGCTTGTAAGAGTTCCAGTCGAGACAAACACTGCCAAAAATAAACTGTCGCCATCAATATAGCTGTTTTATAATTTACCAGAAGACGTGAGGGTGATTTGCTGAGTACAGTTGGTGAGTGCCAGGTTGCCTCTACATGAACCTTTAGCACAAACATGTGTGTAAGCGTTATGGTCTTCCTGATGGATACTTGGTCCGTTTACTGCCCATAAATTAAAAAAGAATAGTCGCGAAACTGAAGCCCGTGTTCAAAACAGTGATGACACCTCTCCAAAACACTTTAAAACCACATAATTTCCGTGCAGAATTTATCAATCGACAATACTTAATGCATTAATATCTGCCATTAATAATTAATAAGTATAAGTTCACCCCCGACACCTAAATATTGGTCAAGGAAATTTTTGATAAGTCCATTTTTTGGAGATTGGGAATGGGATCGTGATATAAAAGCCTCTTTAATTTCTTTCAGGTCACCGATTATGCCTCGAGGAAGAAGGTTGATGGTGCCAAAATCAACCAAAGGTAAGCTTTCTGTTCTTTTTTATAAAAAACAGGAAAGCCTTGATCAGAGAGTCCCATTTTTTATCTGTTTTAGGTGACTCGACACGGCAGGTTTCGCTCATGGCGTTTGTCCGACCGGTTTGTACACACATTTATGTGCAGGCGATGAAGTTCAGAGCCCTCTTAATATCATTTTATGTTACTTTATTTAGACCACAGTAACGACCGCAGGCGCGGAGCCAGGCGCCTCGACGAGCGCTGGACCGCCAGAGCCAGGTAGACAAACAAATCAAGTTATTTGCTTGACAGCAGTGCTGCCTTAGCGACCATCAGGATTTGAGAGCCTCTTTTTTTCCTTATGGTTTTTACTTGTAGTCAGGCTAAAATCTTGCTCCCAAAGTTGAATTTGTGACTTCAAGTTAGGCAATAAATTAAGAATTAAGTTCTTTTTTTGTACTGTATTGCAAGAGTACCTATTTTTTATAAGATAGCGAAATACGTTCGTTGGATTAATTGCGGTAAAGATTAAATACTTGTAGACAACCTTTTAAAACACTTTAGCTGTTGAAATAATCACCGTTGAAACTTTCAGTCCTTTCCCAATAAGACGCAAGCTTACAAATTCCAAATCTTATGTAACGTTTTAACACTCGAGAAAAAATAGCTCACCCAGCCACTTCTATCTTCTATTTCCCAATTGTCTATCCTACTTTGCATACAGTAATTCGATTCTTTGGTGCTAATGACAAGAAAAGACGGCAATTGTCACATGGGGAAGTGTGAGACGAATGGGTAGAATTGGCCAAAGGTGGCATCTCCCTTCCGTTTCACTGTGAGATGTACATTTTTTTTTTCACTGGACATATCTGCGGCGATGAATCGAGTTTTTTAGCAGGAGTAAGGTTTACTTTCCACCGGCCGAATGACTAGCCTTGTCTACCTCGGCTCTTTCTGAAGAAGAGGAGGGAGGGGGAAAAGGTTGTCTCATGAAGTGAACAATTCACGATTGAGCAAGTGTGGTCGCGGTATGGCGCACCTACACGAAGGTGTGGTCTTGTGGAAAATAAGTGGTACATGCCTTAAGAGAGTGGGGTGTGTAGTGCGTGGATTGTTCCAGGATATACAATGATTTTATCTGTTTTTTTTTGCTGGCATTTTGAATTTACATAGAAGTCATTTGTACTTTCAAATTACTCATTGTTTAGCTAACAGGCTAAGATTCGTGGGGCGTGAAGTAAGTGAAGAAGATTATCATGATGATTTTTAAAATTTACCGTCATTTGTTACTAATGCATGACATTTGCACCCGTTTATTTGTTAGCCTCCAAAATGACTTCCCATTCTCACTTTAGGCGCAGACTGATTGTTTTATCACTCACATTAAAAATTTCTGCAAGTTTTTGATGTTACCTGTAGATTATTTTTTTCAACAGTGGGAACTATTCATAACCAAGTATTTCGTTTCTTCCTAAACTTGATGCGTTTTAAGGTGATTCATCTGCATGGCTTTGTACGTTAGTTGTTTTTAACCCTCACGGTGCTCAAATTTTTCCTTCACCATCTAAATGATGTAATGAGACCCTGATAAACGCATTCTCATCTACTGTTGTATTCTGAACACTTAATAGCTTGATTTGGATCTTTACAGCCTCTCCTGAGCCCAACACATCGATAATTTTTGGCACTCCCGAGGCCTCAATCGCCCCTGCCAAGGGCTTTAAATCCTCCACCGGTGACATTGTCCAACCTCCCCTTCCTACACGACCCCAGCCCTCCTCCTCTACTCGATTGTACCGAAAGCCACGTAGATCCAGTTTTGTGACTCAACGTCACATCCTCGTTATGGCAAAACGAGCCGCTGAGGGTCGTACTGATGCCGTCTCTCGCGAGGGTGATTACAATGGTCTCAACTACGCTCCGATTCAGCAAGTCAATTTCGGTGCTCCTTCCTCCCGCACCACAATTGCGAGTCAGCGTGCTAGAAAGATGGTTCAAATGGCAGTCAGTAAGGGCTCACAGAGCAAAACTCGTCCAACGAAACGAGTTGCTAGTGATGTTGCCGAAGCTTCTACGGATAGAAGTGTCGTCTTCGAGGATGGCAGCGAGGCCGCACCGCCATTGACCAAGGCGAGACAGGCCCCGAACCTGGACAGTCAGGAGATGCATGTTTTGAATGAGGTTTTTAGCAATTGTGTGGATAGTGGTGGGTCGCCAAAAGCGAACTCTGGGTTGACTGTGCGTTCGAGCATGGAGAAGAAGACACTTAAAGAATCTTCAGTGGAGAACGTTGTCTTGGAATCATCCTTTGTTGATGCATTAGATGAAGAATGGGGGAGTGTATTTAATAAGTGAGTTTATAAACGGTGTTTTTACTCGGCACGCTTGGTACCAGCGCCATGCATACGTTATGTCCAGGTTTTCTTGCCTGAATCCGCTTGTTACAAATGTGGCATTTTTTTGCTGGTTTTTGATAAATTGGATCCTTTGGGACAGAGGAAAGTGATATGCTTAATGTTTTAAGAGCAGCTGAATTGGTCACTTCAATTGTGCAAATATTGGTGCCATAAAAGAACTGTAAGACATTTGGGCAGCACTAATTTTTGAAAAAATCTTATTCTTCTTACTTTTTCATCGTTAAATGTCCAATTGTTATATTTTTTTCCTGATTTTCTTCGTAGCCAAGCGGAACTGAAAACACAAGTCCCTCTCACTTCTGAAGTGAAACGACATCCATGGTATCGATGCCGAGTGATGGAGGTCACGGAAAGTGGGTGCGTTTTTCGCTTTTTCAAATTTTGCCTCTGACTGATCTTTCGTAAAGCGCACTTATTAGTGGTTCTTCATTTCTTGAAGCCTCGAAACACTTTGAGCTGACCACGGAAAATTTTGAGTTCATGGATGGTGCTCGAACACGGGTGAGGTCGTGCTTTAAGTTTTAACGACGATTAATGGCGTAGTAACCGGGTCCTTTCATGCTATATTGGGAATTTGTCCGTTGGCTGTGTCTCGTCCAACAACATGGAGCGCAAAACCCCATACAAACTCCGTACTTAAAAAATATTTAGGAGGGTATAAGTTCACCTCTTACTTCATTTGACCACTTCATCATAAGTAGTCAGCTGCTGTACTTCTGCGCATTCATTTTGTGTGCGTGAATTGACACCCAAAACGCCATTACTTGTCAAGGGCTCTCTTCAAATTTCTTTTTTGTCCTCTCTTAACAGCCATTCAAAAGTAGTCTCTACGATTTGTCTGGATACGCAGGCATCCCCCACAGTTCATCTCTCGGGATCGTGGTAAGTAAATTTGCGTTTTTACTGCTTATCATAAATTTGTTTTAAGTTAATATTAAATTATCTTCAAAAGCTACCCAAAAGATAGGCGATTACCAAAGTAGGTGGGCTAGAGTAAGTGATAGCTTGTTTACCTCTAGAAATAAGCTTGTCTCGTAGTGAAAGGGCTGTAGATTGTAATGCTTATTACTTCCACAAGTAGAGAATCTTAAGAGGCTCTCTGGAATTATTTTATTTCTACTTCAAAACTGCTCAAGATTATTTTACTTGGATGTTAGTTTTGTTTAGATTCATCGAGTTCAACTGAAATCTAATTCCTTTGTTTTTAAGTGTGATATTTTAATTTTCCTTCGTCAACTTGCTTTGCCTTTTCCGAAATTTGTGCTTGAAGAATTCACAATCACACAGCACTGTTAAAGATTCAGGTCAAAATAATGGGAAGACGTAATGGCCAGGCCACTTGTACACAAGCGATCTATCAGCAAAGGTCCTTCTGTGGCACTCGAGGTACCACTGCAGGATGCTTTGTAATATGCCTACAAGTGAAAAAGGGGAGAATTGGGGGGTTGGAAGAAAGCCATTTTCATGGGTGGCCTGAATAGATATTTATCCCACTTGCTTAAAAATCTAATTCTGATTTGTCGAAGCAGCTCGGATGGTGTTATAGTTAATTAAGGCAACTATCATTCCATTGTCTGCTTTTGACATCGTCTTTGTTGGTCTCAGTGGTATGTTTTTCGTGTCGCCTGTCGGAAATACACGATAAATTGGAACGAACTGTGCAATAGGAACGAAGATCACGTGACACTTATCTGATTCCAACGGGAAGACCTCCGAATTTGATGATTGTGGTGTGGCCCGTAGATGTCGATGTGATCGAATTAATGGGCTTGACGAGACTCTACAGGGAATGCATTTATAACACTCAGTTTCCACAGGAATACCTATTTGGAGGTGAAGGTAATTCAACGAAGTACACAGTGTAATGTGGCCACTCGAAGCTAATGCTTAATTTCCCACTTTTTTATGCTATTCAGCAGCCTATTGAAGTTTTCCTCACATTCCTGCAATATCTAGTATACTTGGACCCTTAATTTCGACTCGTGGTTGTGCTTTTGTATCAATTTCGCAAGTTGCGATTTTGTTTGCTGCTTTTCGTTTGTTCATTTTTGCTGTCACTTTTCTGCTGGATGTGCGATAGAAATACTCGCAACAGATGCTTTTCCCCAAAAATTTTTCCGTAGTAAACATCCAAATTCATTGGGCTTAAATTTCCCCGAATTTTCGTCCGAAGCGACCAACTTTCCTTTCAAGCAGTGTTGAAATTTGTTAAGTACATTCCATTGGGCCACCCTCTGAAGCTATTGTAGGGCATCATGGTGGAGAATAAACCACTGGAAGCTGAAAATAAAAAAACAATTAGAAAAATAAAACAATTAAGTGAACTGTTGTTTCTTGAATAGAACTGGCGCAATCACAATCAAAATCTCACTGAGACGAGGAGCCACGTGGAATAATGCTAACGTTGAAAGGCTAGGGAAAAGCTATTCTGCCCAAAAATTTTTAAGATATTATCACTTAAACTCTCTCTACTCTACAAACTACATGACTTTTCTGAATTTCCGGTCAAGTTTTCCTATTCAGGTATATTTATGCTACAGGAAACAGTGCTTTATCCACAGTTTCTGGGCCTGGATTTATGAAAAATGCAGTGGGGGCTTATGTTTTGCAGATTTTTCGGTGGGGTATTTGACTTTGAAGGCCTGTTTCGCCATTGAAAATTCACCAAAATCTCGTTTTTTGCCTTCCTTTTTACCATCCCGTGTTGACCCCAATTGGGAAAAGGTGTCCTCGTGGCACACTCAAATGCGATATGTGCATTTGCAAGCTAGCCCGCAGATTTCCTTCCCAATTTTGAATTCTAGTCGTTAGAACCATTGGTTCACCATCAGGTCACCGAAAGACCTTTGCAACATTATTTTCTCTTAAGCGGGTCGAGTCGTTGCAACTATTAATTCACTAGCACATGGACGCTGCTGAACCACTGTCAGTGGCACTATTTTGCTTAAAATCGCAGTGCTTTTTACATCTTGTAGACATTTGGATTTGTTTATATATGAAATCAAGGTATGGAGACAGGCTTTGAGGCAATTTTCTGTTTATTTTGCTCTCGTTTTAATTTATGCAAAGCGAAATCTAGCCTCCTATGCGATTAGTTTAATTAATCTTGCCTACTTGGTAACATGCGTAAATTTAAGTCCAGCTTCTATCACAACTGGTTAATTTATGATCACGGCTAAAATCCTCAGCCATTCGCTTTGTTTATTTCCCAAGCTGTCCACTTTTCGTTGTTGGTATGTGAAAATAAACCTATTTCAGGAAAAATTGGAGGGTGCACTGGAAAAGGTAATTACAGAAGGGTATAAGAACTTCCAGAAGAAAATCAAATTAAGATTTTAGAGAGTGGATTCTCTAGTCTTTTACATGAGGGAACTGAACATTGATACTTTTAAAGCTATTTTTAAATCAACATTCAGAATTTGTCTTAGTGACTCTAGCGAAGCTCTCCAGCAATGTATCTCGCTTTTGATGCATTTTTAAATGCTCGTGCGAGATGGCTTTTCCTCAGCGATGCCGTTGTTGAAAATGGCCATGCCGTAGAACGACTTTCTTTCCAATTTTCACTAACAGTTTTTATGGCGGCAAAATCCATCTGGCTGGTTTTTTTGCCTTGCCGATTCCTATTAAACAAATTTACATGTGTCAACAGTTCATGCAAATTCACTAACGCTTAACAGGTGACCACTGGTTTTTCCTACACACCTGCTTTCAGCTCATTTACATTGATATTAATTTAGCCTTTATTTATGTCTGGCTTGTTTATGTCAAAGGCTAGTCACCGTCAGGAACGGTAATATTTGCGGAGACGTGGTGTATTGCGCTGTCCAGTAGGGATGGGGGTTGCTGCCCCCTGACAGGTTGACAAGCCCTGCCCACCTTGTCCGCTTTTGAAGAAGAAAAGGAAGGTGTTAACCTTACAGAAATTAGAGTTGCATGGAGTTGAACTACTTTATCCACAAGTGTTGTTTTCACCTTGTGAACAATTCACAATTGAGCAATTGTGGCTGCGGTACGGCGCACACACACGAAGGAAGTGTGGTCTTGTAGGAATAAAATTATGCGTACCCTAAGAGAGAGTGGGGTGTGTAGTGAGTGAATCGTTTGGGGGTGTCTGATTTTACTTGTTTGCTTGCTTAAATGTTCAGTACCTTTAAAAGTCGCATTCCCATCACAAGCTCACCCCTCCTCATCCCAATTTAGTAATAGGATTGGCCGTCTTGAAGTGAAAATAGCTGCAAAGCATTTACTTTTACGCCATATAAATTTCTCACTACGGCTGGGCTTTCCACTATCGTACTATGCTTGATGTCTCCTGCAGATGCAAATTTACGTTCGCGAGTGCTGTCCCCGTTTTCAATTGACCCCATTCCTACACGCTGTCCTGTGGATGCTGCTGCCCCCTACCTTGATTAACAGTGTCAGCTGCTAGTGTCTAATAGGACAAGCTTATAATCTGCTACTGCATAGAGTTATCTCCGCAACATCACCTCTTTACATTTGTGGAAGCGAATTCCCAAGCTTGACTGAATTTGCCTTGGTACCTCTATCGCAACCGACTGAGTTGACTCATAATGATATGCGCTGTTTACTCTCTCCAAGTGTGTTGGGAATGAAGAAGTAAAAGTTTGTTTACCAGTACTGTCAAGGTTATTCTTCGCTTTCTGATGTGTTTTAAGCGTTATGAACAAAAATGACAAATTTGTGACTTGTATTTCTTATAGTGGCAACTGATTACAACAAAACGTGCGTCTTAAATAGATTGCTAAAGTTTTAACGAGGATGTAGGATCTCTGGTCTGAGAATAATTATTGTTTTATTTTTTGAGTAATAGTTATATTAATCAGTTTGGGCATTGTGAATGCTGGTGTTGTCATTAGAACAGTAAGCATCTGGGGTGCGATAGCTGATTTTCTGATGTGACCATGGCATCGAATGTGTTAAATAGGATAACAATTTCTCTCGTCACATAGGTACGACACACCACTTCAGGCGGGCGATATAATCAATCTGATCCCCAGTTCCATCGGGATCGAATCAACTACCACGTCCCCATTTTCCACGTGGAGCCTCTCCGATGACCCACTGCCGTCCGGTGTCACTACTCCTCCCCTTCTTGTCCTCCATCCCGAGATACTCATATCGGGCACCACGGTGGCTGCCTCAGCCAGAGGATGCGCTCGACGAGCGGTGCTGCAACACCTCTGGGATAGAGATGAGGCAGAGTCGACTATAGTGAGATCTTCTGACTTTGATTCTACCACCTCGACGTCGTTATCTGAAGGCGGTATAATGCTCGTGGGCAGCTTGGTACACAGGATCTTCCAGCAGGTAATTTCTGTTTCTGTGTCAGGGTGGATGTTCAACTTGTTCTGGGAAGTGTGCGAGACGTGTTGATGGTCTGTTTCGTGTAAAATTAATTCTCACTAAAGTTTGGGACGTTCAAAGACCCGGATGGAATGGACATTTTGAGACTATTTGAAGGTCACTTTCAGAACGATTAGCTTTATTCCTGATGAGCCAGTAGAAATTCCAGGCAGCGAGTGCGAGATGATACCTTTCATTTTATTGCGTCCACGATCACCTTTGCCTCCAATTACTGCTGACTGAAGAAGAGATAGAATAAGTGGTACCCTAATATGTTCAAGTACATTTGACCTCTGGAGGTTATTTTATGCCCGTTGACAATGTTTTCATGAGGCTTTCCTCTCTCGTACAGCATCATTGGTTTCGGTTTGTATCCCTGAAAATTTCATTGAGCTAATACTTGGTCGTAGATATGTAAAGTATAATGATGGGAAACTTTCGAAAATTCTTATGCTTAGGTTCGTAAAAAAGAAGGTTGGAGATAGACTGGCTATTTGTAATGTCCGAGCGTATCTTGTGACTACTTTTATCTGTCCGAAATTCGTCATCTTAAGTTGAAGTGTCTGTGAAACGTCCAAATATTATTATTTTTACTAATTTAGTGTACACATCATATCGTGGAGCAGTTACAAATGGTGTTATTTGTCTTTTCCGAAAACTACCAATACTGATCATAGGCTAGATCGTAATGGCTTAGGAGTGACAATAATTTTAGGCAGAGAAAGTGTTCGGCATCTAGAAGTCACTCAAAATCCACTATTGACGAAGAGGTATGTTCTACACCGGCTGACTGGGTCGAAATACTGCTTTGTTGGGCCTGTACGAAACACTGGTACTTGCTTTCTGTCTGAATTCAGTTCCAGAATAAGGAGAGATATTGTTAACTTAAGAACGATATGAGCTGCACAAAGCCCCTGGCTCGTTTCAAAGCCCAGAGATCATTTAATGTTCGTCAACAACATTGATTCAGGAAGGATAGTCACGATATTTTCCTAAATGTCTGCAGGTAATTCCATGGGACAGGTCTTATTCCCTTTCTCTTGGTTTGGTAATCGTTTTTGAAACCAAGCTTATTCTTATTTATGAATTGTTCAAAGCAAATCTTATCACTGCGGCGTGCATTAAATTCTTCACTCTCTTATGTTTCCGTAAAGGGGACAAAGCCAAAGGGGTTGTAGCTGGTTTCACTCGGGTCCTTCATGTAACGATTACCGCTTGCCAAGTTGGCTGATTTTACGAAAATGACAAGAAAATATCTGCATCTCATTAACAGCTTCCATTATGTATGGCACAGTAAAAGTTCTATCCCTTTTGTGGTCGTCATTCCCCGGGGGCAGTGCTGGTTGAAGGGATACCTTTATTTCAAGAATGATGGAAATTGATGTTTTCCCACTCAGGGAGTCTTTAGAAAGTTTTCCAAAGTGTTTAATGCTATACGCTTTCAGTCTCTTGCTTCCGCATTTGTCTATAAAACATGCGTTATGACAGTTTCCAAATTATGTTTCATGAAAACAAATTGACCGCAAGAAACTTTCGGAATGTTTCTGCGCTTTTAAGTTTGCGTATTTAACGAAGGATGTAGGAAAAGTAGTAGTGACTGTTTATGGCTAACTATTTCTGCTTGGCAAGCTGTCTTCTCTTGCGGTTTACTTTTCATGCTCGTAAGTCTTGAGTAAAAATAAACTGATAAACTTAGCGTAACTTGTACCATAAGGAAGGGAATGATTTGCTCTGTTATCTGCTGAGATTGTGAGCAGATGTGTGCGGCTAAAATGGCATCCAAATGTATTGTTGTTTTTGGTGATTCCTTGTGAAAGCATATTTTCCATTGAGTAAATGAACTCTTGAGCAAAATGGTTGTTGGTTAATTTTGTGAAAGCTTTTTCACTACAATAATTTCTCAATGCACGGCTACACGTACTCACCGGTGACGATTCCCAGTTGTGAGCAGCCCTGGTGCAAGATGTTAATTTTTTTAAATTTTTTTGAGTAAGCACTCGATAAAGGCAACGTTGACTTAAGGGTAATATTTTGTTAAGAATGTAGTTAGAATGTCTGCCGCATTTTACTGAGACCTCTGCTCTTTTTGATTTTGCTGTTCGTAGAATCACTAGAATGTCTTCTACTTTTCTGTTTTTATCAAATTTTTAAACTGTGGTGTATTGCAAGCCTGTTTCAAATAATGGGCAGATAATTCACAGATTACATGCATTAAAATCATACACGGGCTTTTACAAGTTACAAGATGGTTTACCAAATTCGTATGACTTTTATAGTCGAAGAGAAATAAGTTCAGAGAGCTTATTAAAGTGCTTTATTGGTTGAACTAGTCACCATTACCGTGGATTATTTTCTAACAAGATATAGGCCAGCCGGAAGTTCAACTTTCATACAACTCTTTCTTCTACAGATACAATCAACTTAGCTATAACCAGAGTCGTATTCGTTTCTGTCGCGATTCTATTTTTTTCAATCGTCTGTTTGGTGCTAAGAAGAGGTGATAATAATCATTCGGCGAAGCACCATCAGGGAACTTGGAAAATTGGGGACGGCAGTAACTTCCTCCCATCCTACTCCGTTTTAAAGTGTAAGTCTTCTGACACGTCGATTTTACAGTGGCACGAGTTTCTGTAATAGTGGAGCTTTTTTTCTCATTCACTGACTTACTAGTCCTGGCTGCTTCTGGAGGAGGACTTTTCCTTGTACAAGCTGGGTTTGTATCGGGTAGATATGTCTCGTGCGTAATTGTTTGGCCCTCAATTGAACAATCCCTTCAATTCAGTTGGCAAGCAGCCTAATAAAGCCGAAGTATTTTTTAGTACGTACCTGAAAAAAGTGTAAAAAAATACAAAGTTTATGTTTTTCGAAGTTAATTGCCATCTGCTTTTCCTACGTGGCATGCGGCACCCATTTATGGGCGGGAACAAATTGTCCCGTCGCCCACGTTAAACATGACAAAATGTTGTTTTTGCTACGTTCATTGTGAATTATTGTAATCTGCAGTGCGGAAAATCTTCTTTACTACCAGGAATTGACAACCTTTGAGTGATTCGTTTAAAATATTTAAAGGAAGTATGTTCCTTTACCTGTTACCACACTTTCTTCAAATGGCGCGCTAAAGGAGTTAACGATACTCTTTTATTTTGCCTATGAAATCTAGTCAGACGCAGTTTGTGGCGCAGACTGCCTAGAATCACATCCACTAGGTTTAACCAATATTTGCTAATGTGAGGATGGGTTATGAAAAGAGGGAGGTAAAGAGCACCCCAATGGACCAGTCGACTGGCACACTATCTATTTACCCATTGTAGAGCACTATCGTAAACAACCACATACACTTTACAAGCCCCTATAAGTTACGAGTCATTATTCCCGAATTGTAGCGCAACCCCACAAACCTCTTTAGTCTTCTAATAACTGTGCTATCTTTGAAATGTGCTTCGAGAAGTAGCGTTTACATTCTGTGGTGCTACTGTAGCTCCAGAGTTTCTCTTGTGTGGATGATAAATGACCAAAAATCAGTTAACAGCTTCATTTGGATGGTGTAAAAGAGCTGGAAAGCCAAGAGTGCAGGTTGTTTGGAACTGTTTATCACTTAACCCTCTGATTTTGACTTGAATTATGGTTGAGGAATCTCACAACTTGTTAGCTTTGGACCGCGATCTCAACACTGCCCAAAAAAACTACCGGCATACCTCACTGTGTAGTTACTTTCGTGAACCCTGAGATATTTCGTTAGGAGAGACAATATGGTTGGCTATGAACATCTTTATTGAGATGATATAGATTATGTGTGAACCAGTATTTGTTGTGACTTGTTTCGTCGATCTACAAGTTGAAATCTGTTCAACATATGGACGCTTTCAAGACATTTTATCTATCCTAATAAATCCGGAATTTCGTTGCCTTGTTGCCTACGAAATTATTGGCATGTCCCACTTCATCATCTTGAAGTGGTTACAGGGTGCAGGCAATGAGTGTAGACCGACATTCTGCCATCGTTGACCGCATCACCACGAATCTGGTCGGTGAATCACCTCCGCGCGGTAGTGGCACCAGGACTGGAGCTTTACAGTGCGACACTGGTGTACGTGCTTGTGACACCACATTCGTTAGTCCGTTTGCTCACTCTTACTGCCTACTCGTTATACCCGGAAGTGAATCAATGTTTCGAGCCACTTTTAGGGTGGCTTTGGTTGAAAATCGTGAGAAAGATTTCTTTTTCAAAAATATGACTCGTTTTCACGGAGAAATTTATTTAATAAATACTACTGCAAAGAGCAAACCTTTGACCATAAGCAAAATCCACATAAATGGGCTACGAGTGGCCATTGGTTAGTTGGTTGGAAAAAAATACATTTCTTGGGACGTGCTTTGGCAATTTTCAAAGTGTATCCTCGGTAGATGCTTCAGTTCTTACCTAACCACTGAATCGCTGATTATCTTACTTATTAAGCCCATTGTTTATTCTGGAAAATCGGATTGGTTGGTAAGTTCCATCATACTCCCTGGTAGCTGAACTGCATTGAGAGATTTATTTGAGAATTTCTTAAACCTAAAAGGTTTTCGTTGAAGTGTCTACCGTCATAACGCTTAACGTTGAATCTTATTAAAAAGGTGCTCGATGCCCCGCTGAATGCCACCCAATCCTTTGTCACTCGAACTACATTGGGGATGGATTGGTTTGGGAAAATCTCTCTGCCGGTTAATGTTCATTTCGTGTCTCCTTGCATTTTCCAGCTTATAAATGAAATTTAACTACATACCAGTGTGAAACTTCGGGAATCGTAGGATGTACCGACCATGTTCCTTATCCTTGATCTCGCTGTACTTGTCAGACGTTGAAGTTTCGAGTTGTTTGCGCTAATTATTTCACCTCGTCGATGCGTCAGAGGTCGTGTTCGAGTCATTACCCTTTTATGGTTTTTTAAGTAGTTTTTCACCAAAGACAACTCAACTCGTTATATTAATGGTTGATTTTATGTTGCTATGTCATAGAGATGTGAATGTCAAACATGGTTTCTTGCTAAGCCTGGTAGCTGATACTATTTGGGGACCAAATTTATTTCAAGGCAATCCATCTTCTGATAAAACTTGAATAAAATTATTACATTTTATCTGTCATATTCTCATGACCGTGTTTAAATCTTTTCTTTTTTTGCTAAGAATTACCTCTTACTAGTCAAATACTTTTGTGTCATGCCGTAATGCTTCCGTACTACACACTTACTCTTCAACATTTTCTTCCATTAACACTGCTTTAAATTAATATTTTCCCTAAAAGGAAATACTGTGCGAATCCTGCGCCTAACATTCGGCTGCTCTGGTGACCTTTTCTATGCGTAATAAAAAGGACCGATGGCTTATTTCTGTGGAAAATTCGTCAGCCGAAGCCGTTTATGTTTCACCTTGGTAATGTTACCTTTTCCCACCTTTCAGGTTGTCAGGCAGCAAATGTCGGGGAATCCGTCAACACCTCAGGCAGCTCTCTTCCATGACCTTATCATACCGTCCACAATTCTCCAACTGTGGGTTCAATTTCCCTTTCTAATCCTTCCTGCCTCTCACTTCTAGGCACGCCATGGGTGATTCGGTTGAGAAGTTTTGTGAATCGCTGAATTTCTTCCTACCAAAGATTAACCAATGGGTAAAACAGCATTGCGTCGTTAACTCTGGGTATGTATAGTGAAAGATTTGTAGGCTAAAAATGATATCTCCAGTTTTCATCCCATTTATCTTGATAATGCCAAACAAAGGCACCGCAGGCTATAAAGCCCCTCACTTTATACCGAGATTCCCTCATATCAGTACCCCAATTGTCCAAGCTTTGATCTTTTCACGACAGAAAGAGACACTTTTTGAGGCAGAAAAATATGAAAACTGCGTCGTAATTGGTACACAGAGCTTAGAGGGTAGTAGCGAGGGGTGGATGCGTTGGAATCCATAATTTATGCTATAAAAATAGAACTTGTATAAGTTCTGAATGACTGGTAGATTTCTTCATTCATAGGAATAAACGTCATTACAGTACGCTCTCATTTTTCACCTTTATTTAACACTTTGTCTCTGGAAACAAACATCTCAGACCTTATGTATGCCAGGAAAAGGTAATGATAATCATTTAGAGATATATTGTCCAGGGGATACAGATGGTGAGGAGAGGGGGCAGTGTCTCCTACCACATTACGAAAAATCCTTCCTGAAAGTGGCCATCTCATGAATCAGTCTTGAAGAGAAATGAAGTCTGAAAACCTGCGTTTTATTGTCCTGTGAGATGATACAGGAAATAGTAGCTTCTTCCCGCTTGACTTTTCCTATTAGTTGGTATATCTCGGACGTAATTATTTGGCCTTCTACAAATGTATAGATTGAAATGAAATGTGGTAATTGTGGTCTGTCATACCTCCACACACACCCATACAAAGCAAGCGTAGACTTGTGGGGATGTAGCATTGCTTGCCTAAGAAGTGTAAGGTATCTAGCTAGTGGGACGTTCGGAGATGTCCACTGATTTATACATGTCCATTCACTGGAACTTAAAATTCAAACAAGTCATTTCTACTCCTAAATCGCTCAATCGGTTGGCAAGCAGCCCGCAATGTGCGTGACACATTCTTTCAAGTTGTGAGGTGGTTCTTGAAGTTTATTTGACATTTGGCACCCGTTTATTGTTAGCTTCTACCACAACTTTCCATTTTCAACTGATGTAGGTCTAATCTGATCATTTCACCCACATTTGACCTCCTTTCAGTCATGTGATACGTTTATTGGAGAGTTACCTGCCAACAGGGACATGTCTACTTAAATAAATTATTCAGCGGTATAGCCCTTTATCAGCGTACTTTCAGTTTTTACTTTTCTGCGTTGGCTATTGCGCCAGGTTTTTAAGTGAATTTGGGGCAGCCACAAAACGGGGGAAGAATCACGCAGATCTCTCTCTCTCTCTCTCTCTGTTCACCAGTCACGTATTCTGCAGGTAAATTGCAGTAAATAGGTTTTTCTGGAAAATAGGGTTCTAGGCTAGACGGTGTTTTGCACCAATAACAGTTTGAATGCCAATGTCTTTTTTTATGGAATCCTTTGTCTGTAAGCGAAAATGTGTAATACTGCACGCAAATTAACTCTTTTACTTTGCATGGACAGCTTATTTCTCCTTTTTCTTCATTGCTATCCATCCGTATTATTGTCAAATTCTTACAATGTAGATGTACATTTTATTTCTAGACATCACCCGTTATTTGTATTTCCCTCTGTTAATTTCACCTCATTAATCGCTGTGACACAAAATTCAAGATTTGGACGGTTTGCTAAAAAAGAAAGTTCACTTTTATAATATGAATTTATGTGTTTGCAACTAAATATTTTGGTGGGGTCAAAAAGTATTTTGAAGTTAATTGGCTAAATAAATTAACCTCAGGGTTTCTCAGCTACAAAATTTCTTTCTCTAAGTGTCGAACTGTTGGTCAACATCTTAAAAATGCCGAGATTTTAAGCAGTAAAAGAGCAGTGGTGCTAACCGATTTTTTATGGACGCGGCACATGAGCTCGTCCAATCCAGTGGCGTTTCAGTTCGCGGCGTCATAAAATATCAAACGGACAGTGTGGCGGGTTGTTTTGTACACCGCTTTTATTACTGATTAAGGAAAGTGTCTGTTAAGAGCCTATGCACATGGACCTCGTTGACCTTCCACTTTGGATCTCTGCAAATTTGGATACCTTTTTCCTCAATGATGTCTTTCGTATTACGACTAGTCCTTGTTGAAGTAATAGCTAAGACCTCTATGGTTTTTTTGAGAGTGGATTAAAGCTGTCGGACATGTTTCTCAACTTTGCAACCGATTTTGTTCTCGAATCATCCCTGAAGACGCTATTAAGTAGCTCTATTGTAAACGCGGATAGTGATATAGAGGGTGAATCAAGAGAAGTTTGCAAAGCCTTGCTTAATTAGTTTGACGAGCTTTTTTCTCGGTGTTCGCTTTGGTGACAGTGATTAGCCCTGTGAAATTAGTTGTTGGACAGAAATGGGGGTTGCGTAATGACTTCTTTTCATGGCGAGAAGGCGAAGGTATCCAACGATTGGGATGCATTTCATAAGTTTTATGTTTTACTTCCTGGGTAAAAAACTTCATTTTTGAAAAGTACGGGATGTTCTACCGAAAGGTGGTTGATTTTCGAAAGCTAACACATTTCATGTGCCAATGGTCTCATCCAAAAGCACTTTTCCATAGGCAAAGCTGTCTTAGCTGCATTCTATTTTTACTCATCCTTTCAATTTCATTGCCATTTTAATGTTATCCAATTACCTATCTGGAGTATTCTGATTTTTATAATGTGTGATGTTAATATAGTTAGTATTTTGAGGATGTGTTACGATTCGTTTAGACTTCGCCATGCTCTATGACTGGAATTGAGATCAATGTGGTTGCCGAAGCTCAACGCGGTTTTAATAGCCCTTCCTTTGTGGGTTTCCACTGATTCAGCCATCCATGTTAGGTACTCTCCATTTATGACGGAATTGGCTGAATTGGTATTGTGGAATGGATTCATTTACTGATCTTGCTACTGCATCGTCTGGGCTATCCCTAAAATCGTAGCATTGTGCGGGTTCGGAAGTGACTTAGTTGTAAAAGTGTGGAAGGGCTGGCTCAATTTCACCGCCATTGGAGGCTGAATGGGGGATACCGGGAAAGATCCACAAAGTCAAATGCACACTCAAAAGTGGTAGTTCTACTCCATAACTTCGCTTCTTTTTTTAGCACCTCATGCGCCTGGTCCAGTGGCACCAACATGCCGGTGATAAAGGAAGTCTTTGATATTGAGGAGAATATTTGGTGCACCAAGTATGCAAACTGTTTTTTACCCTCTTTTTTTTACTACTGGTCTCTCACATACGCACGAACAAGATCATCAAATATGTACTTGTAACAAGAAATTAGAATGAGACGGTCTGGTATTTTCAGTGAAACTAGTTGTGAAAGTTTTACAGCTTGCAAGGTGGGGTTTAACATCCCAAACGCGTAATGGTCAGACCTCTGTTTGCGGTTTGAATGGAGTAGTGTCATTTGCGTTAGAGAGATGGTTCTCTCATTTAAATAAAGTCAACCTTTTTCTTCTCATTGACCAGCTTCTGTGTCTACTTAATCATAACTTTTTTCGTGTTGAATTTGATTGTTTGTAGTAGCCGTCAGCCCGATTCAGGTTACGGAGTACGACCATCGTCGGCGGTCCTTTTGGTGAAATATCTGTCTTTCAATGTGTTTTTGGATCTCTATCGAATTATTCCAAGATCTTAGAGACGACCATTTTCTCATTTGACAATCGCTCCTTTAAATCATTCATTCAGGTCTCTCAAAATGCCTTTAAATTCTAAGACACTCGAAATGGTTTGACGTGGTACAAGTTTTTTCATCATCCATATATTTACTCTGACACTTTTTGACTTGTAAACAGTCAACGAAATCAAAGTTTCTCTTTTCAGCCATGCCATCTGAATGGAGGTGAAAACGTTAGAGACTGAAGAGACATCGAGTGTTGTAGAGCACCGGAATTTTATACTTGGCGAATAATACCGCAATTGAAAATCGTCTTTTTTCTCCTACCCTGCAGACTTGGTGTCAAGGGGAAGATTGATATGACCGTTGTTTGCTCAACCAACTCACAAGCGCCGCCCTTTCTCGTTCCTTTGGAGTTGAAAACAGGGAAGCCATCCTTCTCCTTTGAGCACCAAGGCCAGGTTAAATTCTCTCTTTACGAAACCCCATTTAACATTGCAACTTTTTTCATACCTTTATCACGAAGCCGTGTCTTTTCTAACCTCCGTGTAGGTCCTCCTCTACCTTCTCATGCTCGCCGACCGCCATGCCGATCGCATCGTCAATGTCGCCAACTACGGTTGGCTTGTCTACCTTCGTCACATGGACCAATCTGATCTTTCGGGACTGGTCAAACCACAGGCAAACAGTTTTCGAGGCCTACTTCAGACTCGAAATTATCTTGCAGCGTCGTTGAGACACCTCACATCACGGGAAGGGTTGATGGTGGAGGGAGAGGAGACAAAGCTTTGGGAGCTGCCACTTCCACCCCCTCTTGACAGGGAACGTCTCTGTTCGTGGTGTCCATACTTTTTCACGTGTGGGCTGCTTCGTGGACAGAGGTGTGTTTATGGTATTGTGGGAGCGCGTTTTCTGATGATTAACTTTTCCATTATGGCGCTAATTTGTCTTATTTAACCAGTGAGTTTTTTAATTCCTGTGGCGTTGTTTTAGAAGGCCCATTTTTTTTTGGAATAGCATAAGCGATAAGCACTGCAGCTGCTGACTCACGTAGATTGAGATAAACGTTATGCTTTATGCCATCCTCTTTATCTATCTCGTAGCTCGTTAACCTTAAGGACTGAATTGGCTTGCCAGAACTGTGCTTCGCGAATTATTACCATTCAAAGAATGCATTTACTGGCCAGACTCTCCCCAACTAACCCTCTTTTTTTATTTTGACGCTTCGGGCTGTTTGCGATACTACGTTATTCCTCGTATGAAGGAACTCATTTAAGGGTGGTAAAGGCTTTCGATTTATTTATGGTTCTATGAAAAAGATTTAATCTGAGAAAAGTTAACATTTGTGAAATGAATTCTCACGTACCCGATTTCATATACCCTTTTAATAATCTCATTTACCCATATGGTTACAAACGATTTTTTTCACAGAAATAAAGTATAGAGCAAATTTTTTTAGAGAAAGAATGAACAGTATTTTAGCTGTCATTTATCATGCATGTAGCATCAATTTACTGGCAGTTAATCCATTTAGTTTTTAAAATTTAGATCGGTGGTTATCTGACGCTATGGGCACTGCAGTCTTTGGCCATCTATTCCTTTTAAAAGGAATAATCATTGGTAGGAGTTGAAATTACTGCTTGTTTTAAAGTGAAGACGATGAAAAATAAAGAAGGAGTAAAAATTTACCGCGTCAGCATGTTCTGCGCTGCTGGTGTCACGGCATTTGTAATTCTAGGCCGTATATTGCAGTGGCACTTATGCGCTATCTGTATCCGAATGGAAAGGAGTACCACGTTGTAATGTATTGACTATCGCGAGCAGGTTTTGCTGGCAGTACAAATTCACCCTCATTGATGCATGCAGTCCGTGCGAAAATACCACTTTCACGCATGGTAGTTATTGGAGGTTCGAAAATGGACGCTTTGTGGAGTGCTCCAGGCGACCGATCCGCTACGGTCGCAACCACCAAGAATGAGAGGCGGATTCTGGGACCGATTTTTGTAATGAAAGCTAAGTTGTAGTGTTGAATTCTTCTGTGATGCCCTAATTCATTGCAAGTAAGTCGTGAATACCTAATCAAATGCTGATAGTGTTGTACTTTTTAGTTTTTCATCTATTATCACATCCTCTTTCTGCGACAAGTACGTGTATTCAACGTTGCGGGCCGTAAAATGATGATGTGCATTTTGCACGGGCTGCGTTCAGCATCTTGAGGTGCAATAAAATTGAGGACGTACTTGTCGACAGTAAAATTCATGTTGTCTGCTTGACAGGAACCTCAAGCATCCATTGCCAAAACGCATAAAGACTATAACAGACCTCATAAGTGTTAGGCGATCGGGAATTCGATGTGATTCCTGGTACGGCTCGTAAATTTGTCTGCTTATGCGGGTAATAGGACACAGACTGGGCCGGCCTGCCAGTACTCTATTTGTGCTACTAACAACCCCTCAGTTAGTTGGATTTTTCGTCAATAAGTGGTTTAATTTGAGGGACGTGATTTGAGCTTGTCGGCTTTGCCATCTTAGTTTAACTCGGTTTTAAGGTTGCAGAGACTTCTCATGGCATTGACAATATAACATCTAGGAAGAGTGTAACGTAAAACGTAGATATGGTTGACACATTTCAGTTCTGGTGCTGACTCGCTCAAACATTGATGCATTGGGCTCAGAAGGATTCCCTATTCTTAATAGTGGTGAATGAACACGTACAACCATTAATATGTAAACGTGGGATCTGTATGTTAAAAAACAAACTTCAGTAATATTCAGTTTGAGTGACGAAATAGTGAATTGGCAACTGCATCATCTGAGAAAGGAATGAGGTAGAAGTCAATTAACAAACGGGTATCGCATAAACTAACTGACGATGATGGGCTTTAAAGACGTCAAATTTATTTTTTGTTACTTCTTTTGTACGTTGTGGAACATACTGTGCGTTTTAGATTGTTTGTTGACTGAATGACTAAATGACCTGAGATAAGAATTGGCTTTTCCAGGTACTGCTACACTAAGCGAATAAACATATCACAATTTATCTTCGAAAAAGATATTTTGGGAATGGAGGTAATGTAGGGTCGGAGGCGGCTAGAGCTGGGCTGATTGCTTCTAGGGGCAAAACATGTTGTAGGTGTGGGATAAATGAAATTGTTTATCGTTGGGAAAGGATCACAGATCATAATGGCAATTATACTAGCGATTAAAATAATCCCAGAGGCTTCCTGGATTTAGTCCCCATTATTTGATTCCCTTACACAACATAACGGATCCCACGGAATGGATATGGCCATGAAATGCATTGATGCATTCGACTTTCAAGTAAATGTAGATTATGACCGGAGACCGCAATGAATGCGGTCGAATTCACAATTTAATACTTAGTTGAATTTAAAAATAGCATCAATCACTTTTCGTTTACAGGATGAAAGAAAATTGGTTAGCTGGTTTGGCATTGACATGCATCCCTTCTGGAGCCCATTCTTTCACCAAATAGCAGTGCTTTTTTAATTCGAAACGATTCCAGATTTTTTGCACATATTCCTCAATCCACGTTGTCGGAGAAACTATTGTTAGGAGCCAAACACGCCTATCTATCCCCTCCCCTGGTGACATTATCGCAGTTCTTTATTCCCGTGGCATTTGGGAGTGGTGAAACGTGACTTGTCGTGATTGCCTGCCCCATCGATTGCATGGTGCTGCCACTTTACATCCAACGCGTGATCATGGAATTTTTTAAGTTATTTTAAAAACAAATCCAGTTCATTCCAAAACCATGAATTTGTTTTAAATAGCAAGTGGGTAGCTAAAAAATTTCATCGTGAAGAATGGAATCAACAGATGGCCCGCAGTCTACTAGGGTTGTCAATCAGTGATGAAGTGTAAAGATCTCAAAGCAGCATCCGAAAGTATGCGATTGTTGATGGATGCTGCTGAGTCGCCTTATGACCCACAAAAAGTAGTTTTTTGCCCCAAAAGGCAGTTGATATAGGATTTTCCACCCGACCGTTTCGTTTTTTTCTTACCTTGTATACTAATAGCGTCTCCCATCGAGTTCGTAATATTGAGCCCATTCATTATCGCGAGTTGCTAGCTCTCCTTTAGACGATTTTTTGTCGTTTTCACGATAGGTGTCTAATTTCTTGTGCTTGGTCACCCAACTAATATTCCCATGTGTCAGGTCGACCTGACAGCCGCAATCTATTTAAATACTGTTATTCTGTATCTGTAATCTTCACCTGGTGGCGGTTATAGTTAACTAGACCCTTGGAGCGCTTTGCATTCGAAATGCGGTTGACTGTAGATATTTTTAGACTTTTATTTACTCACAGACGAATGCTTGTGCTAACAGGAGCGATTCTATGCTCTTATCATCAACTCCTTCCCACGGTACCCAGTGCACAACAGAACGCCGCTTCTATCTCTGGTGCAACTGACTTGAGAGTATTACTGTGATCTTACCGTAATGTTCACTCTAGGACGACATAACTTCTCCCAGCCTGTATGGCCATTCAGCTTGTTAGATAGAATTAAGTATATACGACCGTATACTGTTCCTCCTCCCGGTTTCAAAGATTTTATCACTTAACAGCTCATTTTATAAGGATTATATGTCTCCGTTCATTACTTCTTAGTAAATAAATTTGTAATATGAATTCCTTAAGCATTTTTCAAATAAACTCATTTAGCAAATTGACCTCTAACTGTTGCCCCTTAATGAGCTACTTTGAAATCTTTTTGGCCAGTACGCCGCCTCCTTCGGACGTATCCATGCGGCATCTTCTGGAGAGTCGCGTGAGGCACGTTGGAGCGGATTGCATGTCCTTCCTGCGCCACTGGACCCGTCTTCAGCTGCTTGAGTATACCTCAGCAAATCGAGTCGACAAAGTTCTTGTTCAAATTGCTGAAGCGGAAGATGGGGAGGAAAAGGAGAAGTAAGTCTTGTACCTTACCAACTCTTAATTGACATTATTACGTTTTTGGCCATTTCTCTAAGCACCCTTAATCACTCTTCTCAGGTGACCGAAAAGTTGGTGCGGTTTTCAATGCGGTTTACTGCAATGACTCGTTATAAGCTGTAGGAACTTGTGTAATACCTGCAAATGTTGATAAGTATGCACCACAAAGCATAGTTGGATATGTGTCAGCCTGTCAATGCGGTACTTTTCGTTGTGCTCTCTACCATTTCCCTCTTTTTTATGCCATCTCTACATCATCAAGCATAAATTAAGTCTGATGTATGTGATTCCATCTTGTCCACCTTACAAACGGTATTTAGCTCGGTTTACTAGAGGAAAAGGAACTTTCTCGTCTCATTTATCGAAGGTACGGTATCGGGTGACAGGACATGCTGCTAATAAATATTGTAAGTAAATATTTTAATTCCGTTGATGCACCCTCCATTCTTGGTACTAATGACGAATTACGTAAGGACATTTGTGCCTCAGATTTGGATTGGATGTGACGGGGGATGTTGCCTTATCCCTCGCATCCCTCTAATTGCATTCCTCTAAACGATGATTATTACTTTTTTTTGGCATTTGAAAACCACATCTGAGATTACATGGATAGTTGAGAGGCAAAAATGAGGCGGGAACTGAGGCAACCAGGGTCATGTTTGTTACTTTCAGGAAAAGCCTACTGTTTAGTTGTTATTTTCTAGCTTGTTTCTCACTAGAAATGGGATTATAACTTGCAACGACAATAACCGTAGTGAATAAAATTGCTGTGTACTGGTGTTTGCCTGTCTGAGTACGGCCGCGATCGAGATCCCAACCGGAGTCGCCATAAGATACGTCTGGGAAAATGAACTCTTGATTACCGACAGCATATTCGCATTCAGGACCAGGGATCTGTGGGCACGTGCATTGGCTGGAGAGAGGAGTGCTTGATAGTCATGGATGACCTTGAACTTACTGTGCCTATCAGTGTAGATGGGGTGTATCTCCATGTCATTGTTAATCAATGCAATGAATTCAACCGGGGTGCAAACTGGGGAATATTTTAGAAAATATTAAAATGGCAATGCTTATCTGGACTTCAGGCATCTTTAGAAACAGTATGCGGAGAACCCTTTGCATTTACCAAATTTTACAACAATAAATCGAGGGAATTTATGTAGTCGAAAATGTACATCAAACAGTAAAAGTTCTATCACATCATAAACACAAGTTTTGTGAAAATGAACTCGTTCATTCTCACAATTTGATGGTAAAATTATAAATTACACAGCTGTCACAACCTTTGAAGTTGTTTCAATCATCTTGCACCAGTGATGAGTTTCTTCTCATGCTACGCCCTCCTTTGACGTCTGGAGTTTTTAGTGGGTGTAGAAAATACTAATCCGTAGCTACTTGCGTCAAATTCTGACTAAGCTTTTGTGAACTTCTCTATAAAAGCCGCTAACAACCTTTCTAGTAGTTCTTCATTCGTATTGTGGTGTTTACCGAATGGCTACTCGCTTGACTTGGTCTTTTCAAGCTCCTCCCTAATTGCGTTTGCACCGAGATTGGGGTCGAGAATGAGGATTTGGTGTTCATCGAAGGATTTCCTTACAGAAGTTATGTTGCATTCAATTGTAAGAAAACCTGAAATCTAGACTTTGCATAGCAGGACACATGGTTTTTCACAGTAAAAATTAGGTATCAACATAAGGTTTTAAAATTCCACTTTTACAAAACTTTTCGTCCCTCAGGCAATGAACCTGGCCTCAGCCACTTCCGTTTTTGCCTCGTTTTTGTTCTCAAACTCTAATCTGTCACTTTTGTGACTATCCCATCCGAATCTGAGGAGATAACCATCACTTGGAGAAGTACTTCAGGAGAACATTGACTACCATACTTTATCCAACCTAGCAGGCAAATCTTCTTGCAGGGCAGTTTTGTTGCAGTATGAGTTCTTGCACAGTGTTGTGGAAATAAAGATTGGAGTGAAACTTTTTTGCTGGACTGGTTGACTAATCCTGGCTGTTTGTAGCTACAACGTATCAAGTAGATATATGTCAGTCGTAACTTTTGTTTGGTCTTCAGCAAGTGGATAATTGAATTTGTAGTCCACTACATACACTACACACACCAGCTAAGAAAAACCTTGTAGGGACGCAGTATGGTGTTTCTTGGAGTTGTAAAAAGAGTGTTGAGTGGGTCGATTTTCATCGCAGTTGGGGCGGCCCGTTAGTTAGCAAATAACCCGAAGCGGATAGTGCATTTTCAAACCTTGCATGGAAAAGGTGAAAAATAACAAAGTGCCAGCCTTTAAAGCACTTGGCACCCGCTCGCTTAGTAGCTTCAACCGCCATTTTCCCTTTCTGAGCCGTGTAGGTGGAAACGGATTGTTTCATCACTTATGTTAAACATGTTTGATTGTTGTTTTTGACAAATTCATCTCGAATTATCTCAACCAGCGGTGACACTTGAGGGGTCTTCTCCACGCGACTTGCACATCTGAAGAAATCATCACTTGAATTTCTGTGCAGTATGTTCTGCTACCGGAAATCACACCTTTTTAGGCTCTTGGCCCTTCGTTAATCATTTGACTGAACACGCTGAGTACTGCCTTTACTTTTCTCTTTCTTTAACAATAACCAAACCTCAAACATCTTGAGCAGTCTACCTGCTGTTGTTCCTATTCAAACAAATATAGGTTAATAGCGGTTCGGATAGAAAACATGAATGAGATGAGCATCCAGTGCTTAGTGATTGTGTAAGCACTGCTGCTCATACCACAATCATTCATCCGGTAAATCATTTCGTTATAATACAAAATTTCTCTTACCCTCATGCTGTTTGTACTGTTTTATCCTCTACACCTCTTGACCTCTTGTGTTCCTTTTTTTCACTTCAAGAAAAGCCACAATGTAAGTAACCATCCTACTACCAGTTAATCCCATTTCCTTGGTCTCAGTACAGGCTAGCTTATCATTTTCCTAGTCACCAATTCTAAAACAGACGTCTTTATACTCTTACTACTTCACACTCAAAATAATAATAAAGATAATGGAGTTTTTTGTACCTTGTTTTGAATCAGAACTGTATAACAGCAGAACTAGGCATTGTTGGCGTTTTAGCGACCTATACACTAAAAATTTTGAGAATTCATCTTTTGTGTTCCCCGTTGAGCGACCTGCACAATGGGTAGATTCATTTGGGAAGGGAAACCTAATATTGCGTCGGTTTTATGCAACTTTGCCGGTTTTGTTTACTTCTGTGAGCTCCCACTATTCCAATTGAATGCAAAATGAGACTGATAATTTTGCAATTATCTCGGGTCTATTTAACGAGAAGAAATCGGGTTTCATCTACTTTGGTCATTTGGTTCATTTGTTTTACAGTTAATCCAGCCAGCTTCCTTCTTTTTTGATTTTAGCCGAGTTAAGAACGGGAGCGGTATTCGTGGATTGGTAATTCAAGACAGCATCAAGTCAAATTACGAGCAGGAATTTTCGATCTACCTCCGAAGACATGACAGCGGTCCAATTTCCACGTAAGTGTCTGTTTGATTGGTGGCATACTGAGCCATTCATGGCCAATCTCAAAGGAGTAAAGAGCACAAACTTTTGAATGGTGGTTGATGTTGACTGTTTGATATCAATCTTGAGGCTCTGGTCTCGAAGCCCATCGTGAGAGTTTCTCACCGTAGAAAAAATTTAACAGTTTTTTGCTTAACCTCAACGAATAAATGACCTTTATTCCTGGCATCCGTGCTCGAAAGAGGGATAAAGCTCTCTTTCGCAGAGCTTATGGCTATGGGTCGAATGAGACGTTAAAAAAGCATTGTAGTAGTTTGATAGGTGCAGATTTCTCTTTATTTCTACTCAATAACAGCCACATGGCTAGGTAATCAAGGAATAACCTTTGAACTTGTTCGCAGAAGTGGAAGCAGAGCAGTCACGAATTACACTAAAACGGTTTATTATTTTTTTTCTGGTCTACTTTGGTCCTGACCTGTGACAATCCTGAATTCAATGTGGTGTGTTTTAATGTCCACCACAACGGCAAAGATGTATAATAACGGTTAAGTAATCTATTTTCTTGACATACTGGATTTATTTGCTTTTTTGTCTTACCTGTAGCCAAGGTTTGTCCGTGGGTGACTTCGTGATAGTCAGCAGCGACAACGGTCGTCACGTGGGCCTCTGTCTGGCCTCCCTCACCGCCTTCTCTACGACCCTCAACACCCTGACCATCACCACCGACAGGTATGGAACTGTTCAGCATAGGCGCTTAAGGAACCTTGAAATCAAATTATGGTTTTTAGTTTTATAGCTTTTAGAAGGGCTAATACCATTCGGTAGTTTACGCAGCAGTAAGTGACAAGGGGTCTACTATTGCACACCACCTCATATACTGTGAGCCACTTCAGGCATCGTTAATCAAGACAGCGGGTTCGTACGAACAGTGCGTGGTAATTAGGTTTCCCGTAAGCGAAGACGTAAAAACAGAACCTGCAGGTATCTACACACCGAAAATACTTCAAACACATTGCATCCTATGATGGAATGCTTCTTGGTCAACAGTAAGAGATTTGAGTAGTACCAACTTTTCGAAGACAGCTTTTCGTACTTTCCTTAGTTATGACGCCGGCTCCAGCGATTCCCAGCCCACAGCACGTCAGCCAGGCACTTTTGTTCAGTAACACTCAGCGTGTGGAAAGCCTACTCCTAGACAATCGGCACACATCCTGTCGTACAGTTGCACTATGGACGAATATGTTCTTTGAAATTCAAAGCATAGGCATTTGGGGGTATTTGCGATTTTGAAAAGACAGCGGATGCTGGATTCCTAAGGCAGTTTTGGCGTACTGAAAAATCTTTCCATTCTGAAACTGGGATAAAGTTATAAATGTGTCATTCGACCATGTGGGTAATTAAATACATTTCTCACACCTTGAGCCTTTTCCGTTTCCCCTGTCGACTGAAAATGCGCCGTTGGCATCAATACTTTTGCTGCATAGACCTTTACCCTCCTGGATCATGCGATTTCGTCTGGACCGATATGTCTCCGACAAGACCACGCAAATCAACCTCTCCAACCTGATGAGATTGATGGAAAACTCGAAGCTGTGGTGAGTTGTTGTGAGGTCTCAGTCAGGGCTACGCCTACCCGCTACCTCGATGAATGATTCTTTTCTGCCCGTCTTTTTTGACTTAGCTCCCGACTAAGACAGTTGATAATTGATCGGACTTGTCCACGATTCACAAAGTCGTTGAAGAAAACGACTCTGCTGCAAAGTGAGTTGTTATAATCTTCAGTTTTTTGGATGTTTCATTAAATTTATGAGAAAAAAATGACTTGGATGAAGGGGCTATTTGCAGTTTCTGGTGAACAATTTGTGCAGAGATTGTTTTCATCTGAGCAGTTGATTCATTCCTTTCTCTAGTGGTCAATTTCGTCTCGAAATCGAGCTTAAAATTTAGGCCACTTTAACTGAAAATAAGCATCCACCTCCCCATTTTCTTCAGTACAAGTGACCTCCACGACCAGTCAATGCAGGTTATACGGTCATCAACAACTGCGCAGCTTGCAATTTCAGTTGCGTTACCTAACAGTAAAAAGGTGATTGAGATTTAAAATAAAATTCTCTGAATAACTTTGTCCACTTTGATGGAAAGTTGATAAACCCTTTGGATAGCGAAATTCGAATCTGACATTATTTTACAATGAAACTGGGTTCAATTTTTGAAGAAAGAGATGTTTTTTCCCCATTGGACCAGCAAACGAATTGTGGGGACAATGTCGCCCTCATTTAGACAACTGATATGTTCTCGGACAAAGTGGTGTGGCGGTGAAGAGGCTCCCATTTTGGTTGCGCATTAGCCAAACCCAAACAATGGACACAATAGTTAATAATTCACATCGAGTTGTAAAGAACCGAGATCGCAGAGAACTAATGTTGGTTTAATCCAGTAAGTCATCAGAAGAGAAGTAATCTACTGGCGTAAGGCAAATGCGGCGATGGCTGCAGTACGTTTGCCGTTTTCTCCATCTACCTCCCGTTTTTGGCTCTTGGGAAGAAAAGATCGGTGCGTAAATGATGCATTGCTGTTGTCGGGGTTGTACAAGTGGTTAAGGCTTTTTTGTGTGGGGAGTCAAGATTTTTATCGGTCGCGAGGCTAGCCTAGCTGGCCCTCTTATTACTAAAAAGATTTTCTTCAAAACAAGCACGTATTACAACGCTCTTAGTGACCACGGCGATATTCCAGTCTTACGCGGATGTATGTCCACGCTTTCGCTACGCAAGTCTGTATTGAATTAAACATGTTTATGTCCAACCTTTTCATTTATTAATTAAGAATGGCATCAACGTACTTAATATACTTTGTATCTACTTTTTGCACACTTGGGGAAAATTGTAAGAGCTAATTTTTGTAGTATTCTGGTGTAACATTTCTATCCCTCCAAATGCAGGATGCGTTTTTTTTCCTTAACTTGTACCCTTAAGAGCACGTTTATCACGGATTTGTACTCTTGCTCGTTTCTTGAAAAGTAGGCTAGATGGTGGCGATTTCATGCAGGAAACTAGGCAAATACTGGTGAAGATGTTTGATGCACACAATTAACTTCCCTTCTAATCCTTCCTCGCTTTCCTACTTCCCAAATCACCGCAAAGGCGCTAATGATGCTGGAACAGAAGCCTTATTAAGTTTTCGCACCAAGTCACTAGTTGGTAATCCCTCCTTCAGTTCTCGCTCAGCACAAATTACTAAGGAGATTAAAACCACTTCTAAGAAAATAAAATGCCTTCTAATGGCCAAACACTGGATTCATTGATGGTTCAAGCTTCTGTCCGCGCCATGTTGTTTTGTTTCCTCTCTACAGTGGAACGAGGTATCCAAGACGGTAAAAGTCAGTTAGTACTTGTGCAAACCAACTGCAAGGCGCCTAGTTACAATAATTGTTCAGCTTTTCGCATCTAGAAGTTCAAAGTATGTTTTGTCAACTTTCCGTAAATATTCGCAATCTTTTCTGCATATTCCTTGTCAGTTTTTCGGTGCCACTACCATTTATGGCTTTCCCAGGTAGCATGCGATCGTGTCTGTTGGAAACGACGCTATTGTTTGCATTTTGTAGAAGGTTGATGTAGGGTGTAAATCCGCATACTTTATCCACTGTGACATGGCATTTAACCTCCATACAGGGCATGCTTTTTACATTTGCTATCTACTAACTTGTTGTTGAGATTGCGGAATAGTTTATTTATATTCTGCGAAATTCCTTCCCCCTGCATTTATGGGAAACATTTGAATGTCCGTAATTTTCGTATCCTGAACTTAACATTCAAATTTCTATGGTTACTATCAGTGGATTGTGGTTTGCTGAAAAGCTACTGCTGTGCTATTTTTTAGAAGGGAGTGCCTGAATCCACAAAAAATTTAGTTCTTTCAGGAATTCGTGACAGCTTCACCAGGCAAGATTCCCACTAGTTTTTATTTTTATTACTTTCTGATTCAACAGTTCAATTAAAAAACTGCTCTAATTTCGTTCTTTTATAATTATTACTATTTTGTGCTATTCCTTCAGTTCGAAAGCTTTTGCGACCTCTGAATATTCACCAACGTTGTGCCATTCTCTCCGTCCTCATGTCCAAGGACTACACCCTCATCGAGGGATTTCCAGGCTCAGGTGAGATAAATCTGATAATTCTTCTCGTCTTGCCTCGGATTTGGACTTATTTCATATCATTTCTACCCGTTGGAATTTTTCCCCATGATGGAATGATTGCTTCTCTGTGGTTACAAGTGTCTTCTTAAATGGGAATTTGTGAACTTTCTTTATTTATCCATAATTTTGCTTGGTATTAGCTTTGCACTTGTTTTTGTTCTTATTTTTAAGGTGGTGTCATTGATATCCTTTACATTTCGTTCTTTTTCTAGTCTTTCTTCAAAGTGTTTTTTTATTTGAATTTCATGGTGACTTCTTCATCAGAGTCGTTATAGACTAAAATTGATGTCAGACTCCTCTCTCTCTGCCAAAAGGATATTTTCGTGTTGGAAACTAGTGGAGTTTAGTGTTGCGTGACGAAAATAGATGTAACTCTTTGGTCATGATGAGTCAACGAATAAATAAATAGATAAATTCCTTTTTGATAAAATGCACTTGTCGGTTCCGTTACTTACTTCATATGCGGTCAGACAACCGTTTATTGCTCATCTCATTAAAACTGAGAAGCGTCAGTCGGAGAAATATCACCTTATTAATGCACACCACCCATCACATCTGTCCCATTTCTAAAGAGCAAATATTCCCATGTCAGGGAAGAAATGACCAAACTGATTGTCTTTAAATCCTATTCCCATGTGCTGATGCATCACATCTGGCAACCAGTTGATCAGCTTCCACGACGACTATCAATTTATGCGCTTGTGAATGGTTTTTTTTTCATTCCTCAATTTAAATATGTCTAAAAGATGTCCTCACCACGCTACTTTTGAATTGTTTAAACCAACATGAACACATACTTCCCCATTTTTGTCATCACTAAAGAGTCCTTCTCGACATGTCTCGTATATCTTGTAGTGATTCATTACCGGAATCAATGTATTTATCCAAACTCATTATGGGCGGTGCGTTCAGCCGCCGGATACCACAAGCGAAGCTTCTGTTTTACCTTTGGGATCCCTTTAAACGCCGTTTTGAAAGCAGAAGAGCTGGAACCACATCCGTAAAATTCAACCGATGTTTGATGATACGACAATGAGCGCAAAATAAACAGAAATCGGCAGAGAACGGGAAACAGCGTAGAGCATCGAAAGACTAACTCACACCTATTTTTGCTTTATAATAGATATGTATGAATAATGACATGAGGTTTATACTTCTCTACAGGTTGCAACCAACTACACTCGTAGCCTCAAACTTTTTTCGTTATCTGATAAATTTGTTATATTTTTGATCTCCTTGGAATATGGGTAGTAGAAGTGTTATTTTTTGAATCGCCAATCATTGTATTACCCTCCATGATCCACAACCAGGTGCACGTTTTTTTTTTCAAATTTTACTCCATAGAATGTAGCAAATTGTTTGCAAAGATACTAAAAAAACTCGTCAACAGGTGGTTTTTGCTTAGCTATAACCCTTGTGGGAATGTAGCAAATGATATGATCATCATGTGGCATGACTTCGTGTCTTCGTAGGTGACTCCTGCCTGACCTGCGCGCATTACAGTTATTTTTTCATGGGAGCATGGAATTTGAAAGAATTCCCCTTTTTTCCTGCAATAATGGTATTTTATATTAAAAACCCGAAAATTTGTACTGTTTATGATAAATTGATGGTGCAATTTCGTGATACAGGGGTGTGAAATACGAAAATAGTCCATTTATGTCTCATTCGTGGAGTAGACGTCATTTCTAAAACCTTTCACTATTCCACTGCCTTCTGTACGGGATTCATTCGGAAATTGCTACTTGGTATGGAATAACGGCTGACTAAAGAATTCCTGCCTGGATACCTATCAAGTGCGTACAAATGTTTACGTGCACTACATGGATGCATATCAGTCCATGTTGGCATTTCATGTTTTTCTCTACACCTTTTGCTGCTACTTTGAGATCCCACCTTTTTTTGCTTCACGACCTCGGTTCTAAAGATGAACTAGAAGCTTCGCGCTATATTTGTAGCATCGCATTCGGATAGAGGCACGGTATCTTGCGATGGTAGAATGTGCTGACTGTAGATGGTTCAAGTACGTAATTTAATTTTGGTGATGAATCTCCTACAGCTGGAGGAGTCACTTGGAGACCTTTCAGCCTTTATAATAATGACGAATTGCCTGTCATCTTTAGTTAAAATGGATTAGAGATTAGTGTGTCAGGAGCTTTCATTCTTGATTAACGTGAGTGGCGAGGCTATTGTTCTGTGCGAACATCAACTGAGGAAGGAAAATCGTAGTGGAAGCTACCTATCAGGAGACAGCTTCAAGCATTCAATTTGTCCATTACTTCAAACTTGACTAAATCTCCTTTTTTTACTGGCTAATCAAGGGATAGGAGTACCAAGTTATGATCGGGTGTTGTTAAGTGTTCACCTTTTAAAAGGAGGCTCGCTTGTTTGTGCCACTTATTCAAGTCTATGCTTTATGTTCTAATAATCCCAATTGTACTTTTTGCTAATTCTAGATGTGATTTTATGAATGATTTACACGCATTCTTTTTGTGAGCATTTGGGTTCAAATTTTAAAATTTTTCATTGTTCTTTTGTAGTTGTACAATTATGATCTGGGGTTTTATTCGTACATAATTTAAAATCATTTTTTGTTTAAAAATTTGGAATCATGCATAAAATAGCCAAAGTGGCTCGCCAAGCTATTTTTCGTGCTGTCAAGGGGTGAATTGTGACGAATACGTGGTTTCGCTAACGAATAACTAAGACGACTCGAGCGTTTTCCATGAATTATTAATACGAATGTGCCAGAGTGGAGTAGCCAGTTGGGAAACGCCAATCTGATCAGGCGAAGAGGGTGGATGAGTTGGCATTCTAACTTTTGCCACTGTCGAATCTTCAGAAGCTCCTGCGCAGTAGCTGGGCGGGGTTCAGTTCAACACACTTTTGCACAATTTGATGGATATAAGTGACCCCTATGCAGTTTGGCGTTTCCGCTTTAAACATGGCAGGAAGAGTAATAAAATTATTATAATTAGTCTGTGTGTTGATGAGTGTGGGTCCTGTCGAGCTCCCGATCAGAGCAATTATGAGGCAAAGATTCCAACATTGATGTCTTTATTTGCAGACGAGTAGGAGTAAGCAGGGGGTACAGCTCGTGCATGTGGCTCCCAGCTGGGTGATGGAGCCACAGGGTAGTTCCATTCTTGTGTATTTTCAGTACTTAATTAATCTTAACTTCATGGTTGCTATTATCATATTTCAAGCCTATCTATATGTGATTGTAGCCATTACTAAGAAATGAATTAGAATTAACCACGAAGAGGAAAACCTACAGAAGTTCGAATCAGGAACGTTTTCTTACATCGCGGGTATCCCTACCAGGGCTGATATGTCTCTAGTCTTGCATGGACCCAATTCAAAAGCTTGGCATCAATTGGAACGGTAGGACTAGCTCTAGCTCGAAGCAGGACAACATTTCCAGCAAGAGTAGGTCATGATCGACGAACAACCAGTTAATGCGCAATGTTGACGTCTCACGAGGTGCAACAACCAATCAAATAATACTAAAATATTCCGTGAGTGGGTGGATCAAATGAAGGAGGGATAAGGGAGGTTAAAAAATGGAAAAAGCTATTTTTTGCAATCGCCTTCTCAGGATATCAGCATCACGGATTTTGTTTTACTTTATTTGTAGCAGGAATGTGTGTTTTGCGCACTAGGTGATTACAGCAAGAGACGAAATTGATGGCTGATTGTCTGACAGATAAGAGAATAGTGGAGATCGGGTTGATCAAAAGTAATGGAAATGTGTTAAAATATTAAAGGTATTTCACAGTTTCAAATACAGTAAACAGAAGTCTCCTTTTGAGTTATTTTCGACGGTATGGCTTCGTATTTACCCAAGTTTTAGAATGAGTAAATACAAATTCAAAATCTCTTTCTTCAATACTTGGTGCTGAACCAAAAATCCACGATTTATGTGGGGAAAACGCAGGCCTTTGAGGGTCCGGTTTTCACTTTTTTACTCATTCCCTATTATTATTTCCCATTCCAGGAAAAACGGAGACACTAGCCGTCCTCCTGCGTTGTCTTGCAGTGCTAGGAAAGAAGACTTTGCTCATCTCTCACACCCACTCGCCGTGGACAATGTTCTTTTGAGGCTTCTCAAGGTAACGCCTGCACTTCATTCTGTCACACTGCTCCTATTTCTTACAAGTTGATGAGTTCTGGAATGCATATAGAAGCCTAGCTAACGCGACTGAGATAGTCGTGTATTTTAAAAGTCATTGCCTATGTCGAATTTCACTGCTACTAGCTTAAGGCGTTATTTGAGGGTTTGGGATTTCCTCTGGTGGTCTCCATTTTCTGGGTGCTATCTAAGGTTATTCCAAAGCGTATGCGCCTTCCTCTTTTTAAGAGGCTTAACCTAAATGCAAAACCCACTTTATGAAATACAGTTTTATAGCAGTCCTTTCAAAATTTCTCCTGGTTTTATTCTCTTCATAATATCACAGTTCTTTGTGATTTGTAAAGACATGGAAAAGTTCCCATATCGTTTTCATTGTGTTCACACTTAGAAATCTGTGATTTGGGTAGTTGTCGTAACATTTACTATCTCTATTAGCTTCTTTCATATCATAACCGGATTGCAGTCATGTTGAAGGTTCTGCAAATCCTGTTAAAAAGTAATAAATTGAAAGTGAAAAACACTGAAAAAATGGTGTTACTAAGGTAATGAAGCATTCGGGTTGAGATGATAATTTTTCTCTAAGACCCTGATGGCAAATGTGTTAAGAACATTGTTTTTTTCAGGATTCAGAAATCAAATTTGTTCGTCTGGGAGCCTACGAGAAGGTCAATCCACTTCTACATTCCCACAATCTTGAAAGCCAACTTTCAGAGGAAATTTCAAAAGCCTCCATCAAAGCAGATTTGAATAAGGCTACTGCTGAATGCTCACGTCTCGTCAAATTCATCGACGAAGTCATGGCCAAAGCGGTAAATTCGTATTCTCTCCAAATCCGCGAAGTGTTTTGCCGAACCTTAAACTGATTTGTTGACCTTTGCTTTCAGGCTATAGTTGGTTGCACGGCGCTAGCTGCAGCGGGTCACGAGGCCTTGGAAAGGTGTCAATTTGATGTGGTCGTGGTGGACGAGGCAACACAACTCCTTCTACCCACAACTCTGGGTGGACTGCTTAAATTGAATGCCAATTCGGGACGGTTTATCCTTGCAGGAGATGCCAATCAGTTACCTCCATTAGTCCACTCCAACGCCGCTAGGTATGGTTGTACCGTCTACTAAATGAATATCAGTTGCAGTGCTCCAGTCAAATTCGAAAGTGTAGACTGGCAAGGCGGATTATGAGGGTGGATGGTGGAAATAAGATTAAGATATCTAATACGGTAACAAAAAGTGGTATTATTATATCTACACAAATTTTTTGGGCTCCTAGCTCCACAGGCAATTTTCCAGTCTTTCCTAATGTTAAAAAACTTTCGAAACAAACGGATATCTGCTTGCTTAACTACATATCTTCTGGTAAGCATTACTTCTTCACTTTTCTCTGCATGCATTTAGAGAAAGCGGATTTGACACTAGTCTCTTTGCCCTTCTGTCTCCGATTGCGCAACACTACGCGGACACTCAGGCGCCAGAGGAGGTGGATGCAATGGGCAGTTGTCTTGTGCAACTGAGGGCGCAGTATCGAATGAACTCCCAGATTCTACATTTAGCAAATACCCTATTTTATGATGGCCGAATGCAATGTGCCTCAGATGAAGTGGCCAACCGGACATTAAAGCTACTGAAGGTTGTTGATCCGGTAAATTTCTGCAGCTGAATTATCTTAATGGTCTCTACTCAAAGTTATCAGTAACCGTAGTTTTTTGGCAAAACACTGAATTCTGACAAAAGCGAATGTAAATATTTCCCTACCTTTAATCTTTGGTTTGCTTTACCCCAATTTTAGCCGAAGGGCTGGCTCACTCGGGTTCTTTCACCGGATCTTGCCGACTCCGTCATACTTCTGGATACTCAGGGTGTGAGTCATCGTGACTTTGAACCTCCCCTTTTCCTATTCAATTTTATTTGCTTGTTAATGTGAAATTAGACATTAAATTAATATGTTGTCATCAGAATTGGCAGGCTTTACTGCGCCTTAATTACGGTTGAAAAAGTTGTTTTATGAAGGTGGCAATTTCAAATCATTACTAGTGTCTCGTAGACAAAATACCGCGGTAGAGTTTTGTCACAATGGATGGCCTCCTTGGATGTCAACAGCATTTACATCTTCATTTATATTGTCTTATTTTGTTTTAGATTTGTAACCTTGCTGCCTCCCCCTTCGACGCCAATGTGAACTATCGAGAAATTGAGATTGTAAAGGAAGTATTTACGAATTTGACTCAGGTAAGTTTACTCTTCTTGCTAATCGCCCTGAACTGATCATAATCTAAGGTAAAAAAAATACCGATTGGCACCGGAGAATAGTGGTTTCAAACGTAATTTTTTGTCCTTCTCTTTCATAATCTTCTCTCTGAAGCGAGGCGTGGAGGCGGATGAAATTGGAGTGATAGCCCCTTATCGCGCGCAGGTTGATGCCTTGCGTCAGTGTCTCCACGGCAAAAGTAGTATCAATGGCGATGGTGGCAGTGATCGTTGCTGCATTGGGTTGGTGGAAGTGAGCACCGCTGACCAGTTTCAGGGTCGTGATAAGTCTCTCATCATCGTCTCCTTCGTTGACTGCCTCCAATCCCGGTCCCAGCACGTGAGTCCGACCTTTTTTAACGTCTGTGTATTGCTCATTACTGGCACTCTTGCCACTTGGATGTAATTTGAAACTTAACAAGGAAGCTAAAATGTTCGTCATTTCATGAATTTTAATCAACGTGTGCATTTAAAACTTTTTCGATGACTCCCTGCACCAAAACTGTAGATACCACTGGCCACCTTAGTAATAAATTGCTTTTGCTTTATAGCATTAAAATCAAGTTTTAAAGACACCATTTCTCTCCTATGCAAGACGAGTCTACCCGTCCGTTTTTTCTCACCGCAAGTGTTTCAATTAAACCACCTAAAGTGCAGCTGTGGTCTTTTTTGGTGATGGCTCATTTTCAAGAACCTAATTGTCTCTTGAAATAGCCAGTTCCAAACTAATCAAACACTTCAAACTACCCACTGTGTGATTCATTCGAAATATAGAATGATCATTGAAGAAGCATTAATGTGTGATAATATATTTTTAACGGTCGCAGGATTTATAATGCCGTACAGTAACCCTAATACACCAATATTTTGAAATCCCTCGGCACAGTTCATAAGTCATTTTAGGATAAAATCCATTGACTGAAATAAGTTGTCAATTTTGTCAATTTATCTTTTGTGCAATCGAATTGGCTTGAATGATTTCCTAAGCCTTAAACCTTTCTGTTTATAAACTGAATGGTTTGAGACTCAATCGCTTTCATCTTCTTCTCCAGTTCAGGTATTTTACGTAGCTGTCATTTTAAAGCGCTGAAAGCACTCTTGGTTCCTGAACTCAATGTCTTCCATTATTGAAGTGGTTCATACAATAGCTCATGTCACTCCTCGCTACTTTCGTCAAACTTCGTCTGCTACTTACTTGCCTGAATTTCTACCTTTCTTCTTAGGATATTGATAAAAGACGATCTTTCTCCTCCCTTTTGAATGAACGACCACGTCTGAATGTCGCTCTGACCCGAGCCAAGCAAAAGCTAATTCTCATTGGTTGTGGCGGCAACCATTCAAGGTCACACGAGGTCATGCAGCAAACACCCACTGTCCTGGAGCAAATGCTCACTGTTCTCCGTCAGATGTCTGCCGTTGTGCCTATCTCCCCTACTCATGCATTATGCTGACCCGGTAGTTGCCATTTTATATGTCAATTTTGTACTACAGGAACCTATTTTTTGTGTTTCTTTTTTAAAAAAAAGTGCGTTTTTTGTAAGCGTTTTTTCCCATTGGTATGGAAAGATGAATAATAGAAATTTATCAAGAATAATTGCACGAGAGTGATTACTTTCATTTATGTTTATCGGTTCCTGTATTTATGGAGAAGGAAAACATAGCTTGGAACTGTTTAATGAGATTACAACAGTACTTCTGTAATTGTTTTTGTTTAATTAGTGGATCTAGGTAAAATATTAGACAGCCTAGAAATCCCCGCCATTTCTTTTGGAGCTTGTGGACATTTATTAAGTGCAATCGTGTAATGCATGGATTGTAATACGTAGGTGGATGCGCCTCACTCCATCTTTTGAACTACTTTATTCTTATTTGGGTCTGCGATGTTACGAAGTGGTGAGTGTGATTTGATTTATTGGGTTCAAGAGTCGT